GGATTGAATCGGATATTCAGATTTTTAAAATTAGTATTTGTGATTTGCTTCGCGTTCGACGGATACTAAATTTTAGTATTTGCTTCGCTTTCATTCATAACAGATATCTGAATTTTTCGGATCGAATCAAAACATATACCGAATCATATCGAATTTAACAGATAATTTTCCCAACCCTACTTACTTCTATGATAAAAAAATCTATTTATAAATGAAAGTAAAAAACAAAAATTGTCACAGTAAAATTTATTAATTTTGTGGAAAAAACATGCGGACCAATCTATTAAATGAAATGAAGTTGTTGACAACAAAAAAAAATGAAATGAAGTACTTAATTAGGGTTGAATTTTTGAAACATGTGACTGATCTAGTTCACCGCCAACATAGTCCGGTCAACTCATTTGACCGTCCAAGCTCATAGTATATTATACAAATTAGGGGTGGAATTATTATCCGGGATCCGAGAACCGATCCGTTATCCGTTCGAAATTATTCCGAAAATTAGGATATCCGGAGAGCCCAGATCCGGATAAGGATAGTAAAATCTAGAATCCGGATAACAAAATTTTAAGGTCCAGATATCCGGATCCGGACGCATTAAATATATTAAAAACATATATATTATATATCTATTAAGCTAATTTTATATAAATAAATATGTATAAAAATTGATTTTAGTTTTTTTTATAATAAATTATATTTATAATGAAAAATATCATTTAAAATATTAATTAATAATTTTTAAAAATATATTTTTATATATTTATTAATTATTTTATATTATTTTTAATATTAATTTCGGATCCAGATCCGGATATCCGCGGATATCCGTTTTTTTGGCCGGATGTCCAGAGTCCGGATATCCGGAGGTCCCGATTCGGGATCCGGATAGTTTTTTTCACGAATCCAGGATATCCGGATCCGTTCCACCCCTAATACAAATATGTATAATCCAATCTAATGTTTCAAATTGCAATTGCTTTTAGAACCCTTTATTTAACTAGAAAGAATCATCATTTTCAAGATAAATGTAAACATTTATTTCGACACACATTGAAATATTTATCCCCTTCCTATTAAAAGGTAAGTACTTTTATTAACATTGCTGATTTATTTTAAATTGACTGGTTCAAAATTATGACATAGTTTGTGCAAAAAGATGAC